AAAAAAAAGAAGTAATGAAATGTTATTCTTTGCAAATTGATCAGTTCAAGTAGTAGAGGTTTCTTTCCTAATTCATACTGTTTTTTACACTTCAGCAGGGCTTTGTATTGTGGGCTAAAAAACTATGTTTCATTGTTTACTTAATGGACTTCAAAGACCATAAAGTAAGGTTGAAGCTAAGGAGCCCAAACCAAAGACTCACAGACCTCTCTTTCGAGTCCTCAATTATGTTGGGCTACTTTAAACCGACAAAGAACCATGAGCCGAACCTAAAGAGATTGGGCTACGAAAATTACGCCCAATATTGTCCATCCTTTTCTGATACTCCGCTAATTCTAACGATTCAAAAATATTGACAGACCTGACCTGAACTAAAGAACCTAATTGAAAGGAGTAAAACGTTTGCGACTAAACTACAAACAAAAAACTTTAGGGATCAAATAGAAAACCATTGCTTTGTTTGGGAACGTTAGTTTGGTTGGAGTATATTTAAATTTGGGACGCCCAAACTCAAACACATTATTTGTTTACATTAAATAAAAGTGTATTTGAAATTGTGTATTTCAACATAAAAATTGTATGTATTTCAAATACCTTATCTACTCCATGAATTTCAGTTCTTAATTTTGGTATTTCGTCAAATTAAGTAGGATCCTTGATAAAATATTGGATCAACTTCACCGTTAGCAATTGGTAATTATTTATCAAGGTCTTTTTTCCCTTCTTTGGAATAGATCTTCTCTTTCTTTTAATTTCGTGGTGGATATAATTCTTAGATGTAAATCTTAAATCTATATCATAATTAGCACACTCGTGAGTTTACCAATCAAGTTTGAATTATCAGCTATCTCTTTTTGCTTATGTGGGTATGAAGGGTCAGGCAAAGGAATGGTTATGAACTCATAACATCAATGCACCTCCTTCCCCACCAGCCTATTTGCTTGGCCACCTCCCTTCACTTTGCTCCTCTTTTTCTTAGAATTCATTAGCACGCACTTTACTAGTGCTTGTATTTAAATGCATGGACCTATTCAAACTTCTAACTTCATATATTTAGTTGGTTGGGCTCTATATTTTGTTCAAGAATGGAGGGGCAATGGAACTCATTTTCAACCAAGGTGCTTAACTCTATTAGTCCTTTTTGTTTGTGAGTGATTATTGACGAAGTTTGTAGCTAAATTTATTCAATTGTATTGTTGGTTGATATTTGAAAATTTTTGGGTTTAGAGGTGATAAGGCCTGGAAGTGTACAATCTTCTTTTGCTTTGCACACCACCTATTCCATAAATTACCTTATTGGGTTATTATTTGAGTTTTTTGACATAGTACTTTAAACAGGGGAGAGAAATAGGAGTACACTACAAGAAAATCCACATTTAGTGATTAAATTATTGATCATTAAATCTTTATTTTTCGTCACAAATTATTATTAGTGATAAAATTTAAATCGTTAGTAAAACCCTTGT